TTCTTCGGATCCTTTCTCAGATGGGACCTTTAATGAAAGTGCCCTTCTCTTACGCAATGATATTCCGTACTGTCAAAACTATTTGTCCATACCTCGCTGCATTACACTGCAGCCCGTATCCACTTGAATAAGTGGTTTACAATATGTTCTTTATATCTCTCTCCTTCTCGAGCATTTTCTATCCCAGACTTTGCCTTTCTTGTTTCATCCTTACCACCACCACTTCTGTTACTTGGTGATTTTAATGCCCACCATTTCCTCTGGGGGGGGTCTCATTGTGACTCACGTGGCATTCAGTTGGAGGCTTTTCTTGCCTCTCACCCCCTCCATGTTTTAAATACGGGTACTCCACCCATTTTGTCCTCGTACTCATACTCTCTCTTGCATCGATCTATCAGTCTGCTCTTCCTCCACTGCACTAGACTTCACCTGGTCTGTTCTACCAGACTTACATGACAGCGATCATTTTCCGATCATTCTTACTTCTCCTTCCTATTCACCACCTTCCCGTAACCCTCGCTGGCAATTTGATCGGGCAAATTGGGATCTTTACTCACACCTCACTGCTTTTAGTGAGGTTCCTTCTTCATCCTCCATTGATGAGCTCCTACACATCTTCTCGACATCAGTTTATACCGCAGCTTCTCATTCTATACCCCAAACCTCAGGCAGCATTCTCAGAGTGCGTGCCTTGGTGGTCTCCTGCTTGTGCTCGTGCAGTACGTTTGAAAACGTGCTGCATGGGGCAGGTACCGGTACAATAGAACCGCTGAGAGACTTGTTGATTTTAAGCAGAAGCGTGCGATCGCTCGCCGTGTCATCCGTGAAGCTAAACGCACTTGTTGGCGAGACTATGTTTCCCATCACCTCTGCTTCTTCTATGAGTGCAGTCTGGAAAAAGTGAGGAAATTGAGTGGTAAATACCTCTCCTGACCCGGCTCCTGTTCTACGGGTCACTGGTGTTGATATAGCAAACCCTCTCGACGTTGCCATTGAACTTGGCACACATCTGGTCCGTATTTCCCGAGGGCTCCATCTATGCCCCTCGTTTCTTTCCTCAAAGTCTGCCAGAGAGTTAGTACCCTTGGACTTTTCTTCTCTCGGAGAAGAACAGTATAATGTGCCTTTTACACTTCAAGAACTGGAGGCAACGCTCTCAGCCTGCCGATCATCGGCAGCTGGGCCTGATGACATTCATATTCGTATGTTACAAACATTTACATTCTCGGTCAGCCCTTGTAGTCCTCTACACCTCTTCAATCTTATTTGGGCACAAGGAGTTCTTCCCCAGCTGTGGAAATCTGCCATTGTTCTCCCTTTCCGCAAACCGGGTACTACAGGACATGATGCCTCCCACTATCGCCCCATCGCTCTTACAAGTGCAGTTTGCAAAGTGATGGAACGCCTCGTAAATCGACGTTTAATGTGGTATTTAGAGACTCACAACAGTCTCTCCGCTAGTCAATATGGCTTTCGTAAGGGTCGTTCTACCATAGACCCCTTACTACGCTTGGATACGTATGTTCGTAATGCCTTTGCGAATAATCACTCAGTTATTGCCATATTTTTTGACCTTGAGAAGGCATATGACACAACTTGGAGGTATAATATTTTGGCCCAGGCCCATTCCTTAGGCCTCCGAGGCAATCTACCATCCTTCCTTAAGAACTTTTTAACTGACAGACATTTCCGTGTTCGAGTCAATAATGTTCTTTCCCCGGACTTCGTCCAAGCTGAAGGTGTCCCTCAAGGATGTGTTCTAAGCACAACACTTTTTCTCCTTGCTATAAATGATTTGGCCTCTGTTCTTCCACCCAATATTTGGTCATCACTCTATGTTGATGACTTCGCTATTGCTTGTGCAGGCGTTGACTGTCACTTTATTGCAGTTTCTCTCCAGCATGCGGTCGACCGTGTTTCCACTTGGGCCACCACACATGGGTTTAAATTTTCAAGTACCAAAACTCACCAAATTACTTTCACTAGACGCTCTGTTATCTCCGATCATCCTTTGTATCTCTATGGCTCCCGTATCCCCGAACGTGATACAGTCAGGTTTCTAGGCCTTCTCTTTGACCGTCGGTTAACCTGGAAACCTCACATTACCTCTCTGAAGGCAACTTGTCACAGCCGGCTAAACCTTCTTAAAACCCTTGCTCATCTTTCCTGGGGAGCTGATCGTCGAACTCTGCTTCGCCTACATTCAGCCCTCGTTTTATCGAAACTCGATTATGGTGACCAGATTTATTCCGCGGCCTCTCCTGCTACTCTCTCTAGCCTTAACTCTATCCATCACCAAGGCTTACGTTTGTGCCTTGGTGCTTTTCGCTCTTCCCTGTTGAGAGCCTCTATACAGAAGCAAATGTTCCATCCTTGTCTGATCGCCGTTGATGCCCATTGCCTTCGTTACTATGTACGACTCTCACGATCTACACATCCTTCCATTTATAGAATGGTCACCGATATTAGTAGACATTCTTTATTCGTTCGCCGCCCCTGTTGCTCCGTCCCTTTTCTCTTCGCCTACATTCACTCTTGTCTTCCCTTCAGTTACCACCTTTATATGTTCATGTAGCATCTCACTTTTCCCTGCCCCCCTGGGAAGTTCCAGCTGTTCGGGTCTGTTCTTTCTCACTCCCTTGCTCGAAAGCTCAACTGCCTACGGTGGCTTCCCGCTCTCTTTTTCTTGATCACTTCCACTCCCATTCTCATGCCACGCTGTGTACACAGATGGCTCTAAGTCTTCAGACGGCGTCGGATTCGCAGCAGTGTTTCCGGACAGCGTCGTACGAGGGCATTTACTATCTTCAGCTAGCATTTTTACTGCTGAACTGTATGCATTCTTGCAGCACTTATTCGTATTGCATCTATGCCTGTGTCATCATTTGTAGTAGTCTCAGACTCCCTTAGTGCTCTACAGGCTATACGAAAATTTGATACATCTCATCCCCTAGTTCTCCGTATCCAACTTTGGCTACGCCGTATCTCTACCAAACATAAAGATATTGTTTTTTGTTGGGTCCTGGTCATGTCGACGTACAGGGCAATGAACAGGCAGACATGCTGCGCGGTCAGCAGTATATGACCTACAATTTCCTATCGAGGTGTTCCATTTCTGGACTATTTGCTGCAATAGCTACCCACCTGTCGCACCCGTTGGCAACAACGTTGGTCAACTCTGCTCGGGTAACAAACTTCATTCTATTAAACCGAGCATAGGTTACTGGCCGTCTTCTTGTCATCAGTGCCGAAGTGGGAGACCACTCTCTCCCCCCCTTCGCATATGGCCACACTCGTCTTACTCATGGGTATCTCATGGAGAGGCACCCTGTTCCTCTCTGTGAGCAGTGTCAAGTTCCAGTATCGATTAGCCACATTCTGTTAGACTGCCCTCTCTATCAACGAGCACGCAGAATTTACCTCCAACGTCGTCTTCGTTCTACTACTCTCTCTTTACCTTCCCTTCTTGCTGATGGACCCTCCTTTAATCCTGACTCTCTCATTGACTTCTTGACAACGTCCGATTTACTCCACAAACTCTGATGATACTTTTCGCACTCCCTCAGCCCTTTCTGGTTCAGTCTCTTGCTGCCCTTTACCCTTTCACCATCCACTGCCCCGCTGTTATCCGTAACCTGTTGCTCATCCATCTCCCTTTTGCCACCTGATGCCCTCACTTCCTTCCTGCCCTGCAGCGCTGTATAGTCCTTGTGGCTTAGCGCTTCTTTTTGATTATAATAATAATTAGGCTGAACCTCATTGCCTCCCATTCCTCAGGTCTTGTTTGACCCCTATGGGTTTAGCACTTCCATTCTATTACAGATCCCTGAGCCTTGCAGCAATTTATGGCCCCTATGGTATGGTTTTGGTTCATTTTGTGAATAGTAGACCCCTCAAGGAAGGTTCCTTGATGCTGGTGAGGGGCTCTTGATCTAGGGAACTGGATCTGTGCTGTGGTTCCCTGAATTATGCCTGAATATCTTCCATCCCCCCCATAAGCACTGTATAATCCTACATAATAATACATGTAATAATAATGTGAATAGTAGTCATGGGGTTGTGCTAATCCTATAGGGATTAGCACCTAGTGAATTTAGGATTATTGGGTTTGATCTGAGGAAAGGGAGGGTACCCTCAGATTCTTTGATAAAAAGCCCTTAACCAGCATTAAGGTAATTTTTTTGGCTGACTCCAATTGGTTTTTCTCTATGGCAGAAATCCTTTTGCTGTCTTTCATGTGTGATTGAAGTATAACAAGAAAATCATCCTGCACAATGAGTATGTTATGTAAAGATAGTTGTTCTGATTACTGTATGTAAAATGTCATATAGATTAGGATAGCCACATAATGTGATGCATATATACATACACAAATAATAAAATGGATATGAAAAAGAGACTCCTGGTAGTCATAAAAAATGTTAGGTTATTTATGTAATTAAAATGTCATCAGATTTTTAGGTAACGATAGCCTTAAAAATACATGTATTGATGAAAAAATTTATATTTTGTCATATGAAATGTTTCACCACAAATAATTGTTATAATGGGGGAAAGGGAAGCGCTAAACCCACAGAAGTCATATAGCGCTTGGGGAATAGGGGGTAATTGGGTTTGACCCAAGGAAGGGGAGAACGAGTCCAATTTCTTGGATCAAGACCCTCTCACCAACATCAAAGCACCTTTGAGGAATTTTTTTTATCTTATAACTCTTCATTCTTCAAAGGGAGTACCTTGGTACTGGTGAAGGGCTTTAGATCCAAGGAGTCCAAGCATTCCAATTCTTCCCTCCTTATATATCAGGGAAAAGTTAAAACAAATTTTCAGTTGAGAATTGGGGATTTGTAAATGATCAAGAAACAAGTGTTTTTGTGCACTTGTATATATTTTCTCTGTCTTGGTTATACATACATTAAAACTACAGGAAGTAATGATATTCTAGTGCATTAAGTTTATCTTGAGCTTCTATATACTATTTTTAACTAAGGAAATATTAGCTATAACTTTGTTATTATTTATTAATGGCAGATGGTTCCTCACATTACACACAGAGGTATTAACAAATTTATTCTTCAACAAGTTATAATAAAATAAATATTTTTAGATTTAAATAATTCTAACAAGCGTGCCATATCACATCACATCACATTATAAGTATTGTAGCATTAATTGCATAATTATGTTTAATAGTAATCCTAAAATCACCAGATGATATCACAATAAGTTCTTTAGTGCATTCACCCCAATTATTTTTAACTGGTATTACAGATAAATAGTTGTTATTTAACATGATGGTGCTGTTAACATTAATAAAATATCAGTGTCTGTTTACAAATATAATTGTTGAAAATGGTATAAAATACCAAGAAGTTGAAGATTAAGACACATGTACAACAGTTGGGTATCTTTATTGATGAAACGTTGTGCCTACACAGTAGGCTTCTTCAGTCATATACAAAGGGATCAATAGTAATGAAACAAAGATGTAATACTTTTTCTCCAAAGCTGATGGACTGATTACATCATCTTTATTTTCATTACTACTGCTCCTTTTGTATTTGACTGAAGAAGCCTACTGTGTAGGTGAAATGTTTCAACAATAAAGATATCCAACTGTTGCGCACGTGTCTTAATTTTCAGATATAATAATGTTGTATTGTAGTTGATAATTTTTGGTGACTAGATAAAGAATGGTAAATGATAGGTACATCTTTGAAGACACAAAAGGAGAACATATAAATATAATAGTAAGCTCTGGCATTTGCTATACTGTAAATATTCATTGTAGTGTAAATGGTAGGTGCCTGAGGTGTGTAACATTTAACTTGTTGGCATACAAAATGATATGTATGATGAGACAAGGGGATAATCTGCCTAATCTACTGTACCCTGTTCCATTCTGACATGAAAAAGGTGATGCCAGGTAGCAATCAGTCAATGAGCCCCATTTCTTATTGGGGCAAAAAAACATACATAAGAGTAAATAGAGTAGATCAGTTAAAAAAATCACAGAACGGGTGAGGTTATCATGATTCCGTGAGTCATGATAGATTAGCTAAATATTGTATTAACAGGTTGTTAATATGCAAAATATGTGTATGTATCTTTCAGACTCATACATGCATTCGTTGTGTTGCACATTTGGCTTATGTTCCTGCATATTTGTACGGTGATAACAGACTTCTTATTACAAGAAATGTATCAGTTTACCCATGGCTGTTTTTGAGTTCTTCTATTGCCTTATTGGCCTGGTAGTTGCAGCTTGTCACCTGGCTGGTCTGCAATACCTGCATGATATTTCAAGCTTCCTTCTTTAATTAATGCTGCAATTGTTTCACTTTACTGGAATGCATTGACAAGTGTTTTGCATTACTGGAAAACTGCATTGAACATATTTAGATTACTGCCTTTCTGGTGTTGCCTCTGTGCATGGTCAAGTTTGCAGTACATTTTCTCCAAAATAATATCATTTGGGAGCAAAATTATAGTAGTAAGACATTCTGGAGGAACACGTCTTCATTTCATTAGTTTTATTTATATAATACCATATAACAATTTGATGTATGAAATTTTAAAAATGCCTTAAAATTACATTTAGCGCACACTCCAGCATACATTAGTTACCGGAAAACTGACAATTAAGTACTCTCTAATTGCAGCTCTAATTAATTTTTTATTGAGAATATTATTTATTCTCTTTTTAATTCACAAATATTAACTATACTATGAGCTGGATATTTTAATTTTAGTGAAATAAAAATAACCACTTTCTGTTTATCATGTTTGAACCTCATACAAATCTGTGATGTATTCTTCTTTATGTAACCTAGTATCAAGTGGCTATGTCAGTTGCCTCTATGCAGCCAAGTTTAAAAATGTTAATGGTTAAAAATGTAACTCTAAAAAATTAAAAATGTTTAATAAAATCTATTTTACTGTCTGTTATCCATATTACATTTGAAATGTATTTAGAAGCCATGCTTCAAGTTCTCTAATACCTGTACTGTACGTTATGCAGCACTCTCAGGAAAAGTCACATTTTGTAGTGACAGTACAGTAAACCCTCGATATAATATGTTAGGTATTATCCGATTGTCCGTTAAATCAGAATAAGCCGAATGTCCATTAAATCAGAATAATGTTACAAAGTAGCAAGAAAATGCACTACAGTACTCTGTAAATACTGCAGTAAACATTGAAAATAAAGGCATTAAAAGTACAGTTTAACCAGTGGATTTTGCCCATAATTTTATAAATGTTATATTGAGGGTTTACTGTACATCCATTATTTAGTGTTAATGGTAAGCTAATACCTGCAAGCAGTCTTTGCCCTGTCCAGCAGGGCAGAGTTTATATCCTGCTTAAGTTATCCCTATTTCTTGCACAACATAGATTGCTTGCTGTTGATAATACGAATCCTGTTGGGTGTGAAGTAAGCATCACAGACTAAATTAAAAAAATAAATCATATATGTTCTTAGTGGGATTTATAGCTGTGAACCAACTGGGTTTTGATATTACATTATTAATGGTACTCAAAGAAATAATCTATACACATATGTGACACTATGAAATAAGGAACTTAATTACCAATTAGCCTGATAAAAATAATACTGCTTTAATGTATATAATACAATAATCAAATAGTTAAGGTAACTAAATTATGCCTGTTGAGTACTTTTTTCATTATGACAATATAAAACGACATTTTAGTTTTTTGAAGTGGTAATGGAATCCTGGGAAGGAAGCAGCACGGCAGTGAACTTAATACCCTTTGTTAAAACTGAATGAGGGCGTACCATCTCATCCCTTATGGAAAGGTCAGCCTCACTAACGTATTGTGCTAACTTTGTGGAAAAATACGAAGGTCTGTCTGTCCAAGATTTATACAGTTGGAAACAAAATTTATTAGTATAGTTCATCTAGAACAGGGGTGGGAAAACTGCAATCTGTGGGCCTCATGTGGCCCGCCAAAGGTTTTCATGTGGCCCGCCAAGATCAAGTCATATACTTGCATATACGCAGCTGAATTAGCAAAACTTTGTTCATTTTCCACTGTTGAAAACATGAGCTGTTACACAAGCATTATCAGACAAGTACAGTTCCCAGTTGATGGCTTTAGAAGTTTGCCCACCCGTTCTAGATTAATTATCCTGCTTGGTGAATTCCTTTAAATTATTCAGTTTCTACTATTAATTATTCAGATTAGGTAGTCCACTTGAATTATTAATTACATATTCAGCTTAAAAAGTTCATTTAAATTACTAATTATTTAGCTTAGTTAAACCACTTAATTATTAATTATTCAGCTTAGGTAGTCCACTTAAATTATTAATCATGTATTCAGCTTAAAAAGTACATTTAAATTATTAATTATTAAGTTTAGGTTGTCCATTTAAATGATTAATTAATATTAAGTTTAAAAAGTACATTTATATTACGATTAATTATCGGAGGTACTGTAGAGTCAAAGCTCATAAAACGATTGTCTGAATGTAACTGATTCATGATCTGAATTTTAAAACTACAATTGATTTACAATGCCATTGAAGTCATGCCTAAGTTGCTATGTTACTTCACATTCTGTGTCAGGTAAATTTAAACTGAAATTATCTCCATTTTTTATAATGTACATATATTGATTATAGTTTTTCTGTTTTTTAATGTGGATTAAAGGCATAAAAGCCTCAGAATGTTTTGTACATAAGTCTTAAGCATGGAGGAGGGTAGGACGGAGGGGTTAGTTACTGTGACAATGTATTTTTTGAATACTGTTCTCTCCTTTTACGCCATGATTTAGCCTGATCTAAATGACTTTGATTTAGCGTAATCTAAATGACTTTGGTTTAGCACTTCCCTATGAATGTAAGAATAATAATAATAATAATAATAATAATAATAATAATAATAATAATAATAATAATAATCTAAACACTACAACTTTTTGCAGTTTACTTGACCTCTGATAAACAATACCTGTTAATCAGAAATTTAAGCTTCAGTATTTTCAATTAGGTTAGGTTAGCAACTGTATTTATGAGACTTGTAAGATTTGTTTCTAAGATAGTCTTCCACATTTTTCATGTCTTTTTATTTCTACCGTTATCTCTACATTTAGGTAGTGAATCTCTTAATTAATGGATGGAGGATCAAGCTTCCACTTATGGATTATTAACAGGAGTATTAAAATGTGAGGCTCAAGAGCTGGAGCCCACTCTCCACAAACTCAATAAATTTGATAAAAGTTACCCTGCACTAAATACAATTTTCTGAGTTTATAATTGTATAGCATCTTGGCATAACCTGGGCAGTTTGAAAGTCCTCAAATATTTCCCAAGTACAACTTACTATAGTTTACTGGAATGTGAAATTTTATTGAGATTAATTTCTAAGTGAGCACAATGCTCTTAGTATTGATTTTTACCTGGAATCTAAGTACTGTAAATAGAATTAACTTTTTTCTCCTGTTGAGTATAAGATTTTAAATGACTACCATGGTTACTGTACAATGGGGCAATTTGCACCACTTCTAACAGGTGTTCAGTATCTCAGTTGTTTCCAAAACATGTACTACTACTTGACTGGAAAATAGATTAAAAATATCTTTTTCTAAGTACTGTATTCCATGGGGAGGTGAAGAAGACTCTTTCCTCTGTAAGCTATTTGTGTCATAAGAGGCGACTAAAATGCCGGGAGCAAGGGGCTAGTAACCCCTTCTGTACAAATTACTAAATGTAAAAAAAGGAACTTTCTTATTTGGGAGGGGGAGGTCACCCTGTCTTGGTGGGAGACGGCCAGTATGTTAAAAAAATATAGTACATAGTATGTTACTGTATTATCTTGGAAACTAGTACTATGATAATGGGGACTTTTAAGTGATGACACACTTACCCTTCAAATGAAACTACCCATCACATGGTACAATTGCTCCATTGTATGGTATGCTTAAGCACAAATATCCCAAGTTATGATGGTACAGCTACTCAGTACAGTTACTAAAGGTACTGTGGAAAACCAGTATAAATTACGTATATTTAAAAAATGTATGTTTTCATGTTAACTTCAGTACAAGGAAATGCTGTATATATTATTTCTCAATTACAGTAAACCCTTGATTTAACAGACCTTGATTAATGAACTTTGGAAATATAAGACAAAATCTGGGCTAACTGATTTTGACGAAGATATTAAAGCCCTTTAAATCAGAATTGTCTGCTATTTTCACAGACAATTCTGGATTAACAAACAAAATTTGTTAAATTTAGAAATGTCCATTGGGCAAATTTATTTTCGGATTTAATGGACTAAGTCCGTTAAATCCAGAATTGCTCATAACTGTTATACTAATGGAAAAATATCCTCACAATTTGGATTTAACGAACACCTCCCCCCCCCTTCCTATTAGACTGTTAAATCGAAGGCTAACTGTAATAACAATTCATAATATCATTGAATATATTCAGTACAATGTCACAACTAATGTAACTATGGTAATTCTCCCATGTTTATTAATGGGAAATTTTCTGATCAATTGTATCTACAGTTTACAAATTAATGCTAGTTATGTAATCAGCAGTGAGTAGTATTTTTGATACGTGTAATTATTTGTGATAAATGAGACACGTATAACATTTGGGTATCTTTCTTCCAGAACAAAAGATACACAAATGTTGCACAAGCATCTCATTTATCAACTTGTTGATGGTTTTGTAATCCATTTACTCAAATAATTATTTGTGTTAATGACATTGCTTTAGTTATCAGGCCAGTTGAATCAAGTATATCGCTACACAGTTAAGTTGAAGTTAACACTAATTAGAAAGACCTGACTTAGCATGAGAACTTGTACTTGAAGTTAGGTAGAGTTTTTAGCAACAATTCAGTGTTGGACAATAAGATATAAAAATAATATGGAACTTTATAATAATGACATTTTCCTCATGCAGGAGTTTTATTAACTTAATAAAATTCATGAGTGACCAAGCCATTACAAAGTATTTCATATTGCTTTTGTGTTTCATTGTCCATTCTGTCGTTACTTTTTACCTTTTCATTTACAGTTCATAATATCACTAATTATTCAATGTCACAGCCAATGTAATTGAATTTTTTTCTTTTATTATTAAACTTTCCGATAAATTTTCAAACTCCATTTAAAAAAAAATGTCAGTCATATAATCATTGTAGAATATTAGCTGTTGTTGCTGTTATTTTTATTATTGTTTTACTGTAATCATCCTGGAGGACAATCCCTTCTCTTCCCAGTTTGTCTACAACTCAACCATATGTAGCTATATTTTTCTCCACAGCTGTTTCCCACTGAAGTAGAGAGTCACAAAGAAATAAACATTTTCACCATCATTCACTCAATAGCTGTCTTGTGACTAGTGCACATGTATCTTAATTCAAATATTGACACTGTCCCTCTTTTAAGAACCTACTGTTAATTAGTTTTAATAATGTTAATTGATATTTTATTGTTTTTAATTTTAGACTTGTCCAAAATGATGTGTATATAATATTTAATTAATAAAAATGCTATTAACACCTATTTTCTGAGGCTCACACCCATCTAACACAACTTTATCTTTCTCAATTGGTATATCCTATAATACGGATCTTATTTAAATAAATAAATAAATAAATAAATAACACTTACATTATCTTAGAATTAAGATCTCTGAATAAATAATATTGAGATAGTATTAATTAAAATGAGGATTTTATCCCCAGAGATCACCTTCACTTAGTGAGCCTCCTGAGAGACATTCATATTTCTGATTTAGTACAGAACTGAGAATAAACCTGGATAACAAACCTAATGCTCTGGATAATCATCTTGCAGGCTGATTTGGTCTTGAAAATGTGTCCTGTGTAAGGTAAATCAAGTTAATTGAAGTTTGCGTTGCTCGCACAGCCAGCAGTGGCCATGGGAGGTGTACTGTTAGAATCAGATTTGATGTCCTGTAAACATTAACGTCTTTATTTCAGCTTGGAAACTATTAGGCATGCATTACTGGGAATACTTAAGCTCATGCCTTTTCTTGGAGTATTTACAATGTTTGTAGAGGGACATTATTGCATTAATTACACTCTGAGTTGAAAACTATATTTATACTAATGATGGTTATGAGCAAGAGATAGTTTGCTCTTATAACAAGATGAGATACATCTCTCAAGTGGCACCTCTCTCAGCTCAGAAGATTTCTTTATTTCATGGTACCAATTATTTTTTTTCTCTTGGGTCACATTCTGCTTAAACCTAGAAAAAGGAAAGAAACGAATGTTAAATAAAATTTTTTGTAAAATTAATGAAAACCTTAAAAAAAAGTAAAAGGAGTTTCAAGCAAAAAACCAGTCTTCATGGCCAAGGGTTGGAACGTTGTGTTACGTCGCCAAGGCTATAATAAGAAAGCATGATGGCTATAACTCAGTTTATTTTCCTATGGCACATGGACATTAAGTGTAAGAAATGCACAGTATTCATGGTCCTAATTAAGTTGTCAGATAGCATAATTGGTTAAACATCAGCCAAGACTTTCATAAGTGAGGGAACAAAGTACAGTACCATATCCTTGAATGAGACTCACCATATCATTAAAGTAGCAAATTGTGCAAGAAGTACTTGGAACCAAGTCCCAGTATTCTGTATACAAACCATGGAACAGGTGGGGTTTGAACCTATGGCGAGTCATGGGTTCATACCCCACCCGTTCCGTGAGTTGTTTGCAATTGTGTTATGATTTTGTGGGTCAGTGTGTACAGTTTATCATAACTTTAAAAATTCCTGCAAAACAAATCATGATTGTGGTTTGTTAATGTTACATTTTATGTTTTTTTGTAACTTCTAAATGTGAGAAATAATCAAGTTACATTATTAACACTAATACACAGTAAATTAGTGCTGATGCACAGTAAATTACATAAAAATTCTGTGATGTAAGTGTGAACATGAATACTGCTCAGTGAATAAGTAAATCTCACATGGAGGAGAATTAAAACATAGGGTACAAAGGATCTGTTTGTTTTCGCATATTTTTGCCAAAACATATTTTCTGCACATTTTTCTTGGAGAGCCTTTAATTCAGGCAAAACTATGCAGAGCTTATTACTCAGCGTTTATTTTTGTGTCCTTGTGCAATTTACCTGTTCATTTATGAAAATAAACTCGAGTCATAATGAATTACTGTCAGTGAATAAACGGAAGAATGGATGGAGACTAACAGTAATCCATGGGTATAATATACCCAGTTTTGTAACCAATTAGTCATGGCACTCAAAAATACGATGATTTTACAACTAGCGCTTCCATGACATAACTGTATCTGTGGAATCAACTAGGCTAGGCTTATGTTTGCCCGAAGTGCTCTGCATAACAATGGGCTTTCTGTAGTTAGTTTAACATCTTTATTATGCACCCCATACCCATCCTATGGGCAGTAGTCAAAGGATGCATGCACACTTAAGTGCCACCCATCTCTTTACCAATAAAAAATTATTAATATTATTTTTATTGTTATAACTGTGACCCTCCTGTCTCATGAAAGCTTCTGGGGCTGTGGAACGAGATATTAGAGCCATTGTTGGTGCTACTGGTAGTTGTGTCAATGTAGTGTTAACTGTAATATCATCCTTTTGTAAGCTCCCTGGAGCACCCATATCCAACACATAACCAAAAAAGTATCCAAAACGGTTGGGATCCTCTCCAAGATACGATACTACGTGCCGCAAACTGCCCTTCTCACACTTATATATCCATTCACTTATATATCCATACCTCACCTATGCTATCTGTGCTTGGGGTTCAACTGCAGCAACACACCTAAATCCAATAATAACCCAACAAAAAGCCACAGTAAGAATAATCACTAAATCCCATCCCTGGCAACACACCCCCCCCACTCTTCATAGATCTAAACTTACTCCCTGTTCAGTACATCCACACTTACTACTGTGCAATCTACATCTACAGGACCTTAAATTCCAATATTAACCTTGACCTAAAACGCTTTCTTGATAGTTGTGACAGAACCCACAGGCACAACACCAGACACAAACATCTCTATGACATTCCCCATGTCCGACTAAACCTTTACAAAAATTCAATGTATGTCAAAGGCCCTAAAATCTGGAACACCCTACCTGAAAATTCCAAAACTGCAGACACATTCATCACCTTCAAAACTACCATCAGAAAACATCTTATCTCCCTGATACACCCTGTCAACTAATAATACGAATACCACCTGGTGGTTCACACTTACACTCACTCACCCATTTGACCATAAACAGAAATATCAATCTCAATCTCAAAATAATGAATCTTAACTAGTCATAAGTTGGCCTGTGATACTCCAATACTGAAACTATGTATAGTGCCAAAACAAAAGCATTCACATTGCTAAACTCACAACTAGTATTTAGTCACTTAGCCATAATACCAACTTATCTCATAATTTTGTAACATTTTAAACCTAAGATTTAATATAAGTCTGCCCGAAATGCCTAGCCATGCTAGGCGTTCTAGTGGTACAAACTGTAATTATTATTTTACTACATGTAAACCACACAATAACCAAATTCTGTAAACTCAGCATTGTAATCCTTATAGAGAATAAAGTTTGAAAGTGGTTACAGCGATGGGTCTGTTGCATGCATGGATCATGATTCATGTCTCCATTCATTTTGTTAATTCATGTATAAAATTATGTATAGCCCACAGTGAGCACATTTTGCTTCTGAATGTTGAATTGTGACAACTACAGAACACGTACAGTACACACAGAAACAACAAAAGGTATTTTCATATAGATCTAGATGTATTTTTTGTTGAATTTTACAAGAGAAAGTTTAGTTTTATGAACTAATATGAAGTGAAAAATATTTAAAATGTTTATTTTCACAGACTTAGCATCAGTAAAATGTTAATTTCCATTTTTAAAATGTTTAGCTTTCCAAGTCTCATATTATACATGAAACCAGTGGTACTGTATAAAGTAGTAATTATTTAATTACTGTATATTAATTATGTAATTACTGTGTATTAATTACTGTATATCGACTAATTACTGTGTAATTATTACTGTATATTGACTAATTACTGTGTAATTATTACTGTATATTGATTAATTACTGTGTTGACTAATTACTTTGTATTGATTAATTATTGTATATTATTCATAGTGTATTAGTTAATTACTATATATTAATTATTTAATTCCTATGTATTAATGACTTAATTACAGTGTGTGCTGGTGTACTGCTATAATTTACTATATTAGGGCCTTTCATGTGAAATTTTTTGTTCAGATTCTAAAAAACGTAAAAGGTACATTTACTCTGATGTTATATAATTTTGAAGTTATGGTACATTATGAGAAATGATCAGCCACGAATAAGGGCATAAGGGCTCGGAACTGTTTTGTGAATAATTATAATGTAAGTGGATACTAGTCTAATAAAATATCCTTTGAACAGGCATTAAAATTTATGGTGTTTGAAAAGCGAGTTTCCTTTACAATTGTAACCAGATAAAAACATATAAATATGTAGTTCATTACCACTGTAACTTGTTTAGCTATTAAAGGTTTGCTGCGACCCAGTCCCTGGACCCATTATGTGCCTCTGTAATCTTGAGGTACAGTCCCTGGACCTATTATGTACCTCTGTAATCTTGAGATCCAGTCCCTGGACCCATTGTGTACCTCTGTAATCTTTTGACTACCACCCACAGGATGGGTATGGGGTGCATAATGAAGATATTAAACTAATTCTGTGTGACAGTATTCACGAAACTGTGCTTAGCCTACAGTGCATTATTTAAACAAGCAGTTGAGAACAGTACAACAAGAATTTGACACCAGTGAGGAATACAGATTTTTTTTTTTTTTTTTGAAGCTATGATTTCTTTAAGATCTGACGTGGTATGCATATTAATGCACTCTACTAGTATGTATCTCGGTGCCAACGTTAATACAGAATCTTAATAACAGTTTGGCAGTCTATTGCAAATATGTATTATATGCATACAAATTGTGTTAATACACAAGGAATATAACAGTCTTAAAATTATCATAAAGTACAGTACATGAATGGCAGTTTTACTTAAATGTAACATTTTGTATGGTTAAAGTGATATTTTCTGAGAGGAGGCCCTGGATACTCACTTGCAGTTCATGAACTCCCAGAGCCTTTACCCCAGAAATGTATTTTTCATACTTGAAAATCTTTTAGTATCATAATTTATTTAATCACATTTACGGGGCTAGTAACCCCTTCTCCTGTATAAATTACTAAATTTAAAAAGAAAATCTTTTGTTTTTCTTTTTAAACTTAAAACTTTTGTTTGTCTTTTTGGGTCATGCTGCCTCAGTACAATATGGCCGCTTGTCGGAAAAAAACACACTTAAGAAAGAAAACTCATGATGATATTTCAGTCTGTTCTGTAACATCATCAAGTTGCAGTTGCGACTTAATGATGTTTCAGGATGGACTGAAATATCGCCATGAGGGTCCTCTCCTAAGTGCAGGTTATCTGTGATTTGTTTCAGCCATGTTATTGTGACTGTTTTTTCTTTTTCATAATTTATTCTAGACTGGTCATTGTAGGATCATCTTACGTGAGATTACAGTAAGTTGCAAGTGGAGCAGTGTTACATGTGAATAAATGATATAGAAAACTGACAAGTTGATTTATGAGACACTTGTGCAACATTTGGGTGTCTGTATTCTGGAAATGTTTTGCCAGCCAGTGGCTTCTTCAGTCCAATGCAGAGAAAGGTGGAAGATGAAGAGAAGTTTGAGGTAATCAGTTCCTCAGCCTGACTGATGGACTGATGGTTAAGATTGATGGACTGCATGCATTGACTCCAGGCTGAGGAACTGATTATATCAAACTCCTCCTCTTCCATCTTTCTCTGCACTGGACTGAAGAATTTCAATAGTCGGTGAAATGTTTCCAGAAAAAAGATATCCAAATATCGCCTAAGTGTCTCATTTATCAGTAATGTTACAAATGTTTATATTTTATGTTCTGTATTTGTAAAATGTGATATTTTGACCTAAATATTCTAAAATTTTGAATTATTCTCTCACTATATTATGCAATTAATAGAATTAAATCTTCTTAATAGAGAATCATGATGTCCAAACACCTTAACAAAAAGAAATTTAATAAAGATCACAAGAAATAAATAAATTTTTAATACACAGTTTAATCACTTTGAAGTGTAATTAAATTCCAAGCAGTTTAATAATCTTTCA